TGCTGGCTATTTGAACCTAGAAATGAAAAACCCCTTTTACCCTATGACTCTTCCCATTCCAAGTTAGTTGAGCGCAGCATCACAAACCTTTCTCTCATCAATCCTCTTAGGAAATCGTGTCATTATGTCATGCAGCACAGCTTTGCAGCTCAAGCTGAAAGGCTTTTGAGTGCTGGGTACCCAGTTATGCTACTGGCATCTATACCTGAAAAGCTATTAAAACAGATAAAGAAAGGCTGCAACTCCGAGGCTCAGCCGGAATCTAACGACCGAAAAAGACCCGTAGTTTTACCCCACGTGCATGACATTTCCCACCAGCTAAAAAAGATAGGGGAGAAATGCAGCGTCAAAGTGGTGTTTTCAGTGCCGGATAAGTTACAGCGGCTATGCAAAGCAGTCAACCCTCTCAAATCCCGTACCACTGGTTGCGCAACTAAGCACAAAACTCGGTTTGTGCCATGTGTAGCGGGGGTTGTTTACGCGATTCCTTTCTCATGTGGTATGTGGTATTTCGGCCAAATGGGGCGATGCCTTAATTAAAGGCTAAAAGAGCACCATTATAATGTTCACAAACAACCCAGGGCCACATTGGAATTCACTGCCGCGATTGCGGATGTACCCCCATGTTTGATCAATGTGAAGTCGTAAAAAAGCACCCGTCACAATTAACTCGAGAAATTATAAAAGCGCATTGTATAGCAAGAGCTGGCAGCACGTGTATTAGCGCCCCTTCTTTGGTTTTATCTGAACATGAAGTGGCCTTCCTTAATCAGGATAACCACCTATGAATCTGTGATATGTGACGGTGTGATGTTGTGTGTTATCTTGTCGTTGTGTTAGGGTGGTTTTGTTTGTATGCTTGCACCGGTCTACATATTTGATGCAGTTTGACAATAAAGCTCAGTTGGAAGTTAGCGCTCTGTCCTCTTGTGTCGGTCTGCTCGGCCGTTTCTTCTTCCCCGTAATGCGCTATACCAGTTCAAGTACCGCCTTGTAACGTTATTCTGACATTAAAGGACACATCAACTTTCCTCATTCGTGCTTCGCATATCTTCGGTTCCAACAGGACGTTGTATCTGCCAATTTGTTTTTCCTTTTTATGCGTCTTCGTTCAGCCTGGCATGCAGGAGCACTTTGTCCAGCGTCAAGCCAGAAGTGCGACAGAGTTGTTTCGATAATCAGCTGACCTACAAGCCAACAATAAATTTGTCTCGCCTATTCTCGACAGACGCTGAGCCGTAGTTCCATCTTTTTACCATGTTTCACAACGCTGAATAAAAAGCATCTACGCTTTCATCTGCTTGCAGCGTCCGCCTATGAAGACACTAACTCTCGTGAAATTCGTTTAGCGGATAAACGAAATACGAGGTGAACTTGTTTTTTGTGGCTGTACGAGAGCTTCTTAAGTCATCAAGTTTAAGAGACGCGAGCTTGAACGCCCACGCAATAAAGAAGCATTCGTACCTAAACTTCGTTGGTAGCTCGGCGCAGTCCTGTATCGTAGGTATAATCTTCTAACTGATCAATCCAGGCATACCACGCACTTGGGTCTTTGAAGTCGAAGGTCGGTGGTTGTTAGAGCTCAAGTACACTGGCAAACCCAGAGTCGTGCTTTTCCTCCCTTGCAGAGCAAACCGTGGCCCCTTGTGACACCACGTCATAGAAAGCATAGCGCGAAGTGCCCTTCACATGCTGTTTTTTGGCAGTACCATTGAGTGTTGGCAGGCCTACCTTACGTCATGAAGTGTGGCGTGTTCTTTGCATAGCAGCAATTTGTTGCCGTATAATGCAGGATAGATTTTTGTAACTAGTTTTTAGAGTATTAGTCTGAAGCTTTCTCCAGGCAAACGAATCACTCTCTGCTGAGGTTTTTATGGAGAGGCGTATAATCTTCCTCAGGGCTCTTTGGTGTGCTTCTGATGATACTTCTCTTCGAGCTTTCTGTATTCTGGCATGCATGTTTCTAGGTATTGGGTGTATATCAATAATATGGCGAATGTCCTTCGGTGTGCTCTCCGTGCTGTTGATTTATCTGCAATCATCCCTAGTACCCAATATCTGTGACGTGTACCTGCTCGTTGGAGTCGTCACTACAGTTTAAGTAATTTATCTTTCAAGGTGTTCACTGGTGAACCGAGGATGCATTTGTAGGATTTCCTAAGAATCGCCTCGAATTGTTGTTTTTCCTGTCATGGTGGCTTTGCATAAGGTATACTGCACGCGATCCTGCTGACGGTGAGAGCTGTTACGAGCCTACAAGTGTTCTCCTCGTTCGTAATCTTTTCTGGCGATCATTCTCGTGATTGGCGCTGTGGTGTTTGATACTCAGCCAATCTCCTGCACTGGGTATAAGCCATGAGAATAGGAGGAAAAGAAGCTGCCTGATGGTGTGGTATGCGACAGTTACTTTGTATCTGCATGCTGAGGATCTTAATTTAGGACACGCTCAGAGTGTTCTTCCTCCTGTATAGACGTCTATGGAATTTCAATATTGTGTCCTTTTCTGTATACTTTAGGAACCTCGGATTTCTACGGGCAGCAAAAGAGACCACATTGTCGGATATAGTCATGAACTATATCTGCTGCGCGTTGCAGAAGATATTTTTGTCCTAATAGTACCCATGTCACCTAGATTGTGACACTGTCTACGCGGATAACATTCCTGAGTCCTTCAATTTTATAGAGGCTCCCGGCTAACCTAATTATAACGACGTTAAACGGCACCGAGTATCTCACAGAACATTGTGGTCTTGCCCTTGTGGACGCATTGAACGTGTAAGCAAGGATGTCTTATATACCAATTGTGGCGGTCCCGTTACTGATGAAAGCTTTGATGTAGTTGTGTACTATTTTAGCGATTTCTTTGCTATGCCCCTCTAACACAGCCTTGAGACTGACATTGTCGAAGGCCACTCTAAGATCAAGCGCGAGTAATACGTTTTCGCTGTATTTTAGGACGTCGGTAAGCGCCTTCTCCTTGATTTGCAGGAGGACGTCCTTGATTGAGATCCATTTTCGAAATACATACATGTAGGGTAGCATGAGTTCGCTATCTCTCATCTCCAACCTTTCAAGCACACTTTTCTCGTATACTCTTCCCAATCATAGGTTCAATGAAGTGGGTCTCAGACTGAAATGGGTCTCAGCATGTATCCAGAAGTTCGGGGTCGTACCCTGTTCCCAGTGTTCAAAGGTTAATTCTGTAAACCTTGTCACAAAGTTGTCGGCGAGATTCCTTATAATTACATTGCTGATGCCGTCCTTGCCTGGAATGTTTTTGGTCGTCGACAGCATAGCATGTTGGACTTCTTCTGTGGTATTAGGTTCATCTCGAGTGAACTATACTTCGCCAGTGTATGGCAAACTGCAGTTGAATTATGGTGCATGGAAAATAGCCCTGCTTGATACATTCTGAAGTATATATAAACATCCTGGAAGAAATCTACAAGGGATCAACTGCTACCATAGTGCTTCATAAAGAAAGCAACAGAATACCAATCAAGAAGGGTGTAAGGAAGGGGGACACAATCTCCCCAATACTATTTACCACGTGCTTACAGGAGGTTTTCAGAAGCCTAGAATGGGAACAGTTAGGGATAAGAATTAATGGAGTGTACCTTAGTAACCTGCGCTTCGCCGATGTCATTGCATTGCTGAGTAACGCACGGGACGAATTGCCACTCATGATTACGGAGTTAGACAAGGGGAGCAGAAAGGCGGGTCTTAAAATGAATCTGCAGAAAACGAAAGTAATGTACAACTACCTCGGAAAAGAGCAGCGCTTCGAGATAGGTAATAGTGCACTTCAAGTTGTAAAAGACTATGTCTACTTAGGGCGGGTAATAACCGTGGAGCCGAACCACGAGATTGAAGTAACTAGAAGGATAAGAATGGGGTGGAGCACATTTGGCAAGCACTCTCAAATTATGACAGGTAGATCGCCACTATCCCTCAAGAGGAAGGTATATAACATATATAACAGCTGTATCTCGCCGGTACTTAGCTACGGAGCAGAAACCTAGAGACTTACAAAGAGGGTTCAGCTTAAATTGGGGACGACGCAGTGAGCAATGGAAAGAAAAATGGTAGGTGTAACCTTAGGAGACAAGAATAGAGCAGAGTGGATTAGGGAACAAACGGAGTTTAAGGATATCATAGCTGAAATCAAGAAGAAGAAATAAACATGGGCCGGGCATGTAGCGCCTAGACAGGATAACCGCTGGTCGTTAAGGGTAACTAGCTGGATTCTTAGAGAAGGCAAGCGGGTTAGAGGTAGACAAAAGTTTAGGTGGGCAGATGAGATTAAGAAGTTTGCGGGTATAAATTGGCAGCAGCAAGCACAGGACCGGGTTAACTGGCGGAACATGGAAGAGGCCTTTGTCCTGCAGTGGACGTAGTCAGGCTGATGATGATGATGATGATGATGATGATGATGATGATACATTCTAGCAATTTCAGGTCAGTGCCTTAAATGTGGTGCGCCATCCTTTGGGTCATTTTAACGAGTTTTAGTCTTGCTATAAGTTGGGTCTGTGAGAGAACTTAGCAAGGCTCATGTCATTTTCCAACCTAGTGTACCTTGGAGATCGATCGAAAGTAAACTTTATCCAAATCACTAAAGGTGACCAGCAACAGTGAGGTGGGCGTATTTCGCGGGATTCTTGCCACTTTTTTCCGACAGTGCCCGCGCGACACTTACAGACCCCTCCTATGTTGAGTATAAATAGATCATGGGAGAAATTGGGGTTTTTAATTGCTGCTTTTTGTTCAGAAAACACTCTTCTAAGCCATGAAATGCCTAAAAGGCACTTCGCTCAATTTCGCTGTTTAGCCTACTGAATTTTCAAACGCTTTCTCTTGCTAAAGATGTCACAGCTTAAGCTTGATGAAAAACAAAATGGGCTCGCACGAAAGTCTTACGTCGACGTGTTACATGTGACCACTGCTAATCCTTGTTTAAATTGTGCTAGAAGAATTCTAATTGTTGCTTTTTTATGCAGGGATCCTCAACACCATCCTGTCCTGGAAACCTCTCGTTCCCGTTAGCCGCATCTCATTCACTATTTATGTTGTACACATATACGTTATTTACCTCAAGTTGTGGACCATCCGGGAACGATTGAGCCCCGACCATTTCCACGTGGTAAGTACCCGGATTCTCCGATGCTCACCACGGTGAAACGCAACCCTAAAACAGCTGGGCAGATAAGAATATACGCACAAAATTTGTTATTATATATATATATATATATATATATATATATATATATTGTAACGAAGAGCGGCGTGGCAGCTGTGGGCAAGAAGAAGCAGAATAGAACAGTTTGCCTGACGAACGGGTGTTATGTCTGTCTCACTTACTACAATGGCGCAGCCGTTCAATGAACCTGTGTGCGACGACCCGCGCGAAGAAACCGTCCTACGGAGCGGACCCACTCTCCAGCAGCCCGCAGCTCCTGCTACCATGGCCATGGCATCCGACCTGGCCACCACGGGTACCGAAGCCAGCGCGCTGCCTGCAGGCGTCTTTGCCAAACCACAAGGTGACTCCACTGATTTGGCTTCGCAAACCGCCTCCTTGCTTAGGGACGCCGTATACGTTCCCTTAGACTTCGCCTCAGGTACCATCTCTGGAGCAACTTGGGTACCGTCGCCAGAAGACAGGCCTAATTCCTCGCCTGTAGCCGCCAGTGAACTCTGCACGGTTCTGCAGACCATCGATACTTCGAGCCAGCGTCTTGCAGACGCCACTGTCGCCTTCTCAGCAGCCTGTGCACGCACCACGTTGCCTCCTCCGTATATGGAAAAAAATCCTGACTTTACTGGCGTTGATCGAGACCCAACCGCCTGGCTGGATGAAATTCATTTGTTGGCCCGTGGACATGCATGGACTGACGACGGGACGCTATCGCTAGCCGTAAGCAGACTGCACGAGTCCGCCAAAGCGTAGCATCAATACGATGGCTGCAAGTACAAATCCTAAAGTGACTGGACTACAGCCTTCGTCATGGCCTTCCCACCATTTCCATTCGCATACGACGACTATTTCATGCGCATGCGATCGCGTCGGCAGGCTCCATCGGAAGACGCCCGTAAATACGTATACGATAAGCTCGGGCTTCTCGACAAATGTGGCATTACATGGATCTCTCCGGCTGCCCGCCAGTATGTTGTTGAGGGCTTGGCTGACGCTACCCATGCTGCCATCTTATCTTGCCAGTCACCTGAAGCGTCACCCCAGGTTTCCGCTCAAAAGGCAGCCGAACTTCAGCAAAACTCTCGTCGTCAGTTTAGCATGGACACATTACCGACTGTCCGTTCGACTTACGCCTCCACACGGCACGGATGCTTCAAGCACGGATGCGGTCGCATTGGCCACAACGCCAAGGAGCGTCGTCAATCTTTCCAGACCCGAATCCACAACCAAGCTTGTCAAACTCCTCGGATGTCCATTCATGTTGAGGGAATAGGTGACCTATCTGCTCTGGTGGATACCGGTGCGGAACGAACAGCGCTACACCAACGTCATGCTCCGGACACTAACCGATCGTGGACGCAACCTCCCCTCTGCGGACTTGAAGGAAGTGCCATGCCAGTCGGAATGCTCGACATTTCAGTCTGGACTGCAGCGGGCACTAAAGTTCTTCCAGCCATTCCCGTCTTTGAAGACCTCCCTGCCGGCATGATCATTGGGGCTGACTTCTTGCTATCTGATGACATTGAGCTCACCATACATCGCGGCCACGTCGAGCGCCGGTCTTCGGCAGCTGGGACTACCGCCACAACCCTGCCACCACCGACAGGTGAGCCATCCACTCCGCCTACTTTATCTTCAATATTGGCTCACCATCAGCCAGTATTCGCTAGCAATACAGCAGAACTGCCAGGCTCTAATTTGCTGCTCTATCGTATACCAACGGGAGATCATCCGCCAATATGCGTACCACTGCGACGATACGCTGAACGAGAACGGGCAGTGATCGCCGAACAAGTAGATGAAATGCTTGCCGCGGGCATTATTAGGCCGTCATCGAGTCCGTGGGCAGCGCCAGTCGTCCTTGTTCACAAGAAAAATGGATCACTACGCTTCTGCGTGGACTACAGGCAGCTCAATAAGTGTACAATGCCCGACTTCTACACTTTACCCCGCATTGATGACGCTGTTGATACAGTACGTCAATGCAAGTTCTTTTCGTCGCTTGATTTACGCGCAGGGTGCTGGCAGATTACCGTTGCGTAGGAAGATCGATGTAAACGGCCTTTCGCACACCTTTTGGTTTGTATGAATTCAACCGTATGACGTTTAAACTAGGAACGGCTCCTAGAACTTTTCAGTGTGCGATGAATTCAGTGCTCGGACCATTGAAAAACCAAGCCTGTGTGGTGTACTTAGACGACATCCTGGTCGTTGGCAGGACGGAGGATGAACACCTGCGCAATTTGGACGAAGTACTACACAGACTCTATGCAGCAGGGTTTCGTTTGAAGAAAGAGAAATGCCAGTTTGGAGTGTCCAAGATTTTGTACCTGGGACATAATATATCTCCTGTCGGCATTCAGCCACTCCCGGAGCGAATAGCTGCCGTGTCGCAGTATCCCACACCAACCTGCTTGAAGCAGGTTCAGTCAATTCTGGGTATGGCGTCGTATTTGCGAAGGTTTATTCCCCACTTCGCTCCGATCGCAGCTCCCTTGAGCGGTCTTCTTAAAAAGGCGCGTGGTTTGAATGGGCGTCTTACAAGAAAATTCTTTTCGAGCTATAAAACAAAAGCTCACTTGTTGCCCCATACTAAGTCACTTCAATGAAGACTGGTTCACCGAAGTGCACACTGATGCCAGCCAAGTCGGCCTAGGAGCTGTGTTAGTGCAGCGTGATCCAGATGGCGTGGAACACGTGGTCGCTTATGCCAGCCAAAAACTTTCAGACACCGAGCGCCACTATCACTCACACGAGCTTGAATGTCTTGCAGTGGTATGGAGCGTCGATGATAAGTTGCGACATTATCTTTTCGGGCGTAAATTCACTGTTGTGACTGATAATGCTGCTATAGCATGAAAGTTCTCCAAGCAGCAACTTAAGCACAAATGTGCCCGGTGGATAATCACGCTGCAAGAATACGATTTTCACGTGCACCACCGCACCGGGGGGCTAAACAACGTCACCGATGCACTCTCACGGAACCCCCTTGACTGCGCGCAATAAACCAGGCAAACCCACATTTTTTTCGCCCAGGTGGATATATCTCAAGCCCAACAGGAGGATAAAGACTTGGCATCCATTATTGCATCTAATACTGACAAGAGAAATCACAGTACTTTTGTGATGCGCAATGCCGCATTGTACCGGCGTCACTGGCGAGCGGACCGATCCGAAGAACGTTACCTCCTGGTGATCCCGAAATCCCACAGGTCAGAAATATTACGAGTCATTCACGACTCCCAAGAAGGCGGACACACCGGCCAACGAGCCACACTCCGGAAACAACAAGAACGTTTTTGGTGGCCGAAGATGCAGAGTAGCGTCCGTTCGTATGTCGCCAGTTGCAAAACTTGCCAGCAGTTTAAGCGACTGCCTGGGTGTCAACCTGGATTACTAACACCAATCCAGATACCCGAAACAATCTTCCACACGATTGGCATTGATTACAAGGGACCTCTACCCACCACCACTGCGGGAAATCGTTACGTCATTGTAGCAGTAGACTACCTGTCAAAACACGTGGAAGTGGAGGCCGTGCTATCTCTTGCATTCACTTACCTAATCGACTTCCTCAAGCACCGATTTGAATGGAGACATGGCTTACCAAAAATTTAATATCTGATCGGGCTACAACGTTTCGTAGCGCGGAACTGAAAAAGTACCTTTGCACGGCAGGCGTGCAGCACTACTTCGCATCCGCCTTTCATCCTCAAGCAAACGGCCTTACTGAGAGAACCAACCAGAGCATCCAGGCATGACTCGCTCCATATACGAAGGCAGGGACAAGAGGAGAGGCCGACTGGGACGTCCATTTTCCGTCAACCGCTTTCGCTATTAGCACGGCACTGCAGACGTCTACCAGATAAAGCCCTACAAAATTGTTTATGGGAAACTACCACAGCTGAAAGCGGTCCTCAGTCTGGATGCTCCCATTATAATTCCACGTGCCAACGATCGCAAAGCGGCCTGTCAGAAGATCCGAACTGAGGCGATCAAGAAAGCCACCCACGCACAAGAAAATCAAAAGCGCCACTTTGACAGACGCCGTAGACCCGCTCCTGCTTACAACATCGGTGACGAGGTCTGGGAGCAAAGGGGCACCAGCGGGCCTGGCAAGAAGCTACTCCCTAAGTTCGACGGGCCATTCATAATTACTCATCCTGTAGGAGAAAACACCTGGCGTGTGAACACCTCAGTTGCGAACTTCACTCTGGATAAACGCAAAAGAAACAACATTGCCCTGCATGTGTCGCGCTTGAAAAAAGCAGTCGGACTGCTGCAGGTGCAATGAACTGTAATTTCTTTTTTTTTGTTGTCAGGTCCGCAGTGTGGCCGAATGTAATAAAGAGCGGCGTGGCAGCTGTGGGCCATGAGTTAGAAAGCGAGGAAGAAGAAGCAGAATAGAACAGCTTGCCCAACAAACGGGTGTTGTCTGTCTCGCTTACTACTACATATATACATATATATATATATATATATATATATATATATATATATATATATATATATATATATATATATAAGGGAAAGAATTGTATACCTAAGGGCTCGTTTTTCCGTGTTTGACACAATATTATTGGGATCTAACAGACAGTAATGCCAAGAAATGTATAGGGGAAGTTATCAGAACCGAGAGAATGTAAGTAAGAAGAAAGAAAAGTGGATGCAAAGGTAACCAGCCGTGAGCAGGAATCGAACCTACGACCTTCAAATAACGTGTTCGATGCTCTAACCACTGAGCTATCACAGCAGTCTTCCCTCGATCCACTTTTTTGGGTTTATATGTGCATTTAGAAGCAGGAGTAGGAGGATACGAAAGACTATTGGTCAGCTGCCCGCTAGTAATAAGTTCGCGTGCTACGTGACGCCACACATGCGCACAAAAGGGTGTTTCACACTCGCCGCTTGGCTTATAGATGGCGCTGACTGACACTCCTACTTCTAAATTCACAAAAAAAGCCAAAAAAGTGAACGGAGGGAAGGCCGCTGTGATAGCTGAGTGGTTAGCGCATCGAACGCGTTATTCGAAGGTCGTAGGTTCGATTCCTGCTCAAGGCTGGTTATTTTTTCACCCACTTTTCTTTGTTCTTATTTACATTGCATTGGTTCTAATGACTTCCTCTATACATTTCTTGGCATTACTGTCTGTTAGATCTCATTGATATTGTGTCAAAACACGGAAAAACAAGCCCTTAGGTATACACATCTTTCCCTTATTCATTACCGAGGGTCTCGTACTGGCAGACTTGGTGTCATTAGGTTGTATACGAGGGACTATTAATCAGCTGCCCTCTGGTAATAAGTTCACGTGCTACATGACGCCACAAATTCGCACAAAAGGGTGTTTAACACTCGCCGCTTGGCCTATAGATGACGCTGACTGACACTCTTACTTCTATATTCACATACGAAGCGAAAAAGTGGATGGAGGGAAGGCCGCTGTGATAGTTCAGTGGTTAGAGCATCGAACGCGTTATTCGAAGGTCGTAGGTTTGATTCCTGCTCATGGCTGGCCATTTTTTCACCCACTTTTCTTTCTTTTTATTTACATTCTATTGGTTCTAATAACTTCCCCTATAAATACCTTGGCATTACTGTCTGTTAGATTTCATATATATATAAATATATATATATATATATGAAAAAGAAGGTGTCCTCGGATCCAGTGGAAAAATACAAAGAAGTGGAGGACGGGCAAAACGAAAACTTTTAATTTTCCTACGTTTCAGCCGGGGACCGGCCTTCATAAGAGAAAAAACTATATAAATAAGGAAATATATATATATAAATATATATATATATATATATATATATAAATATATATATATATATATATATATATATATATATATATATATATATATATTGCAAAACGTTGTATGCATTATCTTCTACAATGAAAAAAGAATGCCACGTACATAATCGAGAGCGCATAGGCGCATAGCAGCAGTCGAGTATATAACACAAACCATTGTGCTATATTTACGTTAACGTTAGAGATTTAAATTAGTTCGATAAAGCGTTAAAGCTTATGCTGGATCTTAATCCAGTGAATTGCCTAAAACACGCCTAAATATTTTTAACATCAGAATGACACCTAATTCAGCACTTTCTTGGGGTAGAAAACGGTGGTGACGAGAATGCCGTTGCGTGTTTTTGGAAAGAACTTCTGCCGCTTCCAGGAGATCAGGTAAACTAATTTCAAAGCTAATTTTGAAATATTACTGAGTAGTTAACTGACTGATGTGAATGTTATTAAGGACAAAACGGTTCAATTAAACAGCTGCGAATTGTAAGCAAAGTGTTGTAGATGAAAGGGACAGATCGTAAGAGTTCGGAATTAGGCTTTTTAGCATGGTGAAAACCACAAACACTTTGCATGCAGGTAAATTCCCTATACCTCACCTAAATACTATGTATATTTTAAGTTCGGCTTGAAATGAAAACTTAGGACATCTAGACAAGAAAACACCTATCCATATCGAAGAGGTGCGCTCAAAATTATGCTCGCTCACAGTGCATGCGATACTTGTCAGTGCTATTTAATCACTGAAGAACTATACGCAAGTACTTAGCCTGCGCCTTCCCTTCAAACGCGTGCACCGATGAGCTTTCTCCATTTCCAAGATATGTGTCACGCGCATATTCATTGTCCTCGGGCTTGTGTCGAGTACCCTTAGATTGAATGTGTGGTTGACGCTTTTATTTCCTGGTTCTCATACTTGGCCTTCAAGTACAATATTAGTGAATCAGTCAATCATGGATGTCGTCGCTGCAGGCTGTTGATATTGTTGCAATTAATAGGTCTTAGAGCTGGAATATACAAACGTCCGAGTGCTGCTCAAGGTGTGGCTAATTCACACGCTCGAGGCAGTGAACGATCGTATTAGCACTATGGTGCTCTTGTGATGAACTTGCCTAATTGCTGTGTGCTCTTCCTTACTGATGGAATGTGCAGTTCATGTCGGCCATCTCGAACTTCGTGGTGGCTGTGATACTGGGCTTCGTTGCGTCTGTGGTCGTCGAAAAGCCCATCGTTTGGTTCTGGGACAGCGTCACCGGATCGCACAGGCCGCCCCGGGTCGCTCAGCAGCACGTCGTCACCAAGCAGCCGCCGCAAGAAACTGCAAGCCAGGCCACAAAAAAGGAGCCTGTATAGAAACAGTGAACTACGAAATAGTGCTCGAACAGTGCTCAGCTGTGGTGCTACAGTGGACGTTTTCTTTTGTTGCACTTTTTTCTCTCAATGGACGTCACGACGCCTCTATGTGCAATGACGCTGAGTAAATGACTGTGCTGCGTTTAGTGTAAACGCAAGCAAAAGCGACATACGAAGTTGGTGCTCTTAGTTGCAGAAACAAATGCGCATTTTTCACGCGCTGTCTTAATATGTTACCACCTTTACCAGTAATGAGGTCGTTGGCAGCATTAAAGCTCTAAACAAGGTATAGTACGGGGAATATTGGTTGCAGTTTTAAGAGATACTGACGTGGTATCATAAGCTTTTTACAGTGTGTACGAGCTGTATATGGTCAGGTCATTTTTTATCCTCTGGTAAGAATTTTTCAGGCAACTCAAGCTGGCAGCCTGACTTCTACGCACGTTCACTCGATGTCCACATAGAAAGGGCCGCGCAAAAACTCGGGAAAAAAGAAGGACAGTAGTGACAGAGCACTGACTAACAACTGAAATTTTTAATGCCATCACCTGTGCATATATATGTGCCTGAAATGTGATTGAGAGGAGGTTTAGAAGCAAGAAAAAAAAAGGCTGGTTTTGACCAGCGATAAAAACTGCAAACGATAAAATCTTCAAAGGAACTCGCGCAAGCGTGATGAGTGAAATGCATCAGTTCATGATAAAGCAAACGACACGAAAAAGTAAAGAAAGCCTCCAAGATAACTAATTTCAGCGTCAGATAAGGATATGGAAGGCCTGCTCACGCACTTGTCACCTGCTTCATGAATGAAGAAAGCCTCAACCATCTCGCGCTCTATCTTATCCCTCCCCATTTTAAAAAATCCGAGTAGTACGAAAGTCAAGGGAGCAGCCACAACGCCTCCAATGGTCAGCCAGAAAACCACTGGTCGTATTGCGTACATTATAGTCATGCTCCTTCACCCTTTTATTAAAACACCTGCCAGTTTGACTATTGTACTCAAGTCCACAACTTAAAAGAAACCTATAAATTACATTGGAAATACAATCTGTGAACCTGTTCTTGTGTTTGGTTGTACACCTAGGGCGTTTTTCTCTGTAGGCCATGCCACATAAGCTCGAGAGTTTGTAGGGCGCGGACAGTACAACTTGCACGTCATGCTTCGATGTGATTATCTTCAATTTATGTGAGAATTTGTGAGAATATGGGATAACTTGGACATGCTTCTTCTTTTACTACCATCTTTTTGTTTTGTTTGATCACGTTTCATGTTCCGTAGCAGGGTATCACACACCGCAGAAATTAATTCAGAAAAGTAACCCGCCTGCTTCAATCGTGTAACCTCTGCATTAAAGCTAGATGAACTGACATGTACACACGACTTATTCAGGGCTGAATGCAGACAGTTCACTGCAATGCTTCGCTTAACAAGGTTCGAATGGGCGCTGTCATGAAGTAACAAGGGTTTCTTGGATCTAGGATTATACTTCCAACAGATGTGATTATCGCCAAAAAGCAAGCCAATGTCAAGAAATTGCAACGCTCGCTTATCAGGCTTTTCATACGTAAGTTTCAGGCTGTGACTTTCACTATGAAACACATGCAAAACGTAATGGATGACTATTTCAAGGTCATCAACGTCATTCAAAATTACTAGAAAATTATCCACATACCTAAAGATCTTGACAACCTGTGGTACTTGCAATTTATCCTGAATGCGGCAACCAACGACCGACAAGAAAATATTACACAACACAGGAGCCACAGCTGAACCAATGCATATGCCCTTTCTTTACACAAAACTTATCATCAAAATTCACAAATGTAGAAGACAAATAGAACTCTAAGAATCTAACAAAGTCATCAGCAGAAACACCTGATTCACCTGAGAACTGAAGTTCACCATATTCCTGAACCCTATCTCGAAAAGCCTGCAGCAGTTCTTCATGTGGCACAGAATAAAGTTCCTCAATGTCGACCGAAAAACCATTAAAAGAGCCAGATTTTAAACCTTGTAGGTGCAGCGTGAAGTCCTCAGACTTGCGGATGACAAAGGGATCATCCTTCACTAAAATTTGAAGGTGCCTTTGTAGGTAACGGCTGACGTGGCGTTGCCAGGTAGCAACTTCAGAAACAATGGCACGAAACGAAACATCGGATTTGTGACTTTTCACGGTAAAAAAGACTTCAAGGAAGCCTTTTTCTTCTTTCTTTGTCCTTGCCCTGAGGTTCTGTAGGTTCGATTCCTCTAGCGGTTGAAGTGCACGCCGTTTCTGTTTTTAAGCATCAAAGGGTACGTCCTTGAAGTTCTTTACCATTGCCAATTTTGACTTTTCTCGAAACAGAGTGTTCGGTAGGACAGCAAAGCTTCTTTTCTTGTCAGTTTCCAGTGATGTTAACTGCAGTTCCTTCAGCGTCCTCGAAATCTTATTTAGGGGCAGATCCATCGAACAATGGGAAGACGTGCAACGTGTCAAGCACTCAACCCCTTTGGTAAAAGCTCGACCTTTTTCATTTTCACCGCAACTCGATGTCATTCGTCACACACTTTCGGCTTGCAACAATACAGTGGCTCTTGATATGAAAGCGATTGTAGCGTAGTTATGACTCCCCGTTATTGCGCTGCACATTACTGCCGTGTAAAACCACGCGACAAGACACATCACAAGTTTTCACGCTACATTTATGTATCCCACCAGTCAATAAGCTGCAGATGACGCCGACAATTTTAGACGTGCTCGTGTAATACCAGGTAGCTTACGTTTGTTGTTTTTGTTGTTGTTGACTATCGCGCCATTTCTCTAAAAGGGACACTAAAGAGGAACATTGAGTTGCTTTAGACTAAGAAACTATTATGAGAGCTGCCTTTGCGATTATGGAGTTAATATTAGATGTAAAACTCGGTTCTTTTTTTTAATCTCACGCTCAATCTTCAACAACGGTACGTGAGTGTCAAGTTACATATTTCATTGATATGTCTGGTCTTTTATCATACTGAATCTGAAAAAAAAGTATTCTAGAAGCATCCTATTTTTGTCTGCTTTGGAACATACCGCAAGTTGTGCTTAGTGACAACGGGGAGGACGAAATTTAGGACGTCACCGTGAACCTCAAGGCGGCGGCGTTATTTTGACAGCGAAGAAAAACTCTGCATGGAATGCACAACGAAGAAGCAATGCTAACGTCCGAAACGTCGAAATGTCTCCGCCCTGTCACTAGTTGCTCTCAAGTTCTTTCAGTGCATTTAAACTTCGGTGATATTATCCCAGCTCGTGTGCATTCTGGTGTGATCAAAGTTTTTTCTGCTGTTCTAGCCAAGGCCCATTAGATTAGAATCTATTGTTGTCAACCAATTTTCACCGCGCGAAAATTGATAAGAATAACGAACAGGTACAAAGAAATGCGCTCGCGGAAGTCGCGTAAATCACGCGCGGGCGTGTACATACGTACTGCGTGACGATCTGCTGTGTGTCATTGCCTCCGAGATTGTACGCGTGAATCTGGGAGGCATCGATTCTCCTTCGCACATAGACCATTTTCTGCGGCTACTTTGTCGCCACCACACCGGAGCGACATGGCCTTCTTCTTGGCGGCGCGGCCGCGATGTGGCAAGTGGCGGACGTTGCCCTGCAGCCTACAGCGAGAAACAGAGGTGGTGGTGATTCTTGGAGGAAAATCGTACTTAATTTCTATTAGCCATAAGGCGACTCGGCGCAGTGTCTAAGAGAAAAAAAGATAAAAGAGAGAAACGAGTGGCGCGAACTATGCGCTGCGCCCGCTTTGCTGGCCTGCAGGCCGGATAGGGTTACCCGGGAGTGCCGGCAGCGAATCAGCCGACCATCACCGACGGTGAAGAAGTGGAAAGATGGCCATTAGATCACGTGCTCAAACGAGGCAGCGCCAGTTCGCCGCTGCGGAAAACCGTCTATATATTGCACAGGCCTTGGGCGACGCGCTTGCTTTTCATTTAAAGATGATCGATAGTCTTTCTTGGAGACCGACGAAAAATTGTGGTCTGTCTTTCTATCTATCTGTACATTTGTCTGTTTGTAAACCCTTAACAATACCTTAAACGACATCAAACAATACCCCGAACGGCCGACTCCATCCGCAGCACCTACCCATATTTCTCAAGCTTCAGCGTTCATACTTGTGCAATTGTGAAATGAAAACAATTAGTTCACATATCTGAGGCACCACACACACACTTCAATATTCTGTATGTGTGTATTTTGACTAGAAAAGGCATACATACGTAATTCTAAGAACCGTAGCACTTATCACGTTGCGCTCACAATGCAACGTTTTGCTAAGACGACACGGTGGAGGTACTTTCCGGTCGTCGTGTGTTATATCTACACCTTATCGCCTCCGAGACAAGCGCGCCCGCCGCGCACTTCGTTTTCCAAGATAACTGCCAGATAGCGCTCATGTCTCGCGTGTGACGTGACTTGACGCGATCGTTCGCCTCCTCTGCACGCTCGAGGCACTCTAACGCTGCGCCTCCGTAATATCATTCGCCAATTATTTTTTTTGCGCAAAACATCAAAGGAACTTTTTTTAACTCTCTCCAGAAGCAAGACTATCGTCTTTTGACGGCATTTGCAGTGTAACATGCAGATAAGGTCCTTTCTTTCCGACGCGTCAGCGCGGGCTGTTGTTCTCGAGGCAGCAGCGTCGCTGTACTGCATTAACACGTGCCTGCCCCGTCAAATCAAGCATGCTCTCGCAATAACACGTCCTGTGAAAATTTACTTTAGAAGCAGGTCCCTCATGAATTCCTACAAAAAGTCGATGAGGAGCCTAAGAGACGAGGTGGGTGGTCTTGGCAGCAGAGCTAGGTCGCACACATGCCAATTCTGTGATTTGCCCGGCAGGCTAGCGAATTTCGAGCAAACTTCCAGATTCTGCGGGCAGGGCCGTAAGTCTACCGATAAGCAACCTCAACGTAACCGCAAAAGTAGGGACTTTTAACTGACCGCTTTAGCAATCCGTACCCCGTTCCGTTCAAACGCTCAACTTTACCGGAGCGCAATGCACATTTTCAGTTTTAGCCGAGCGTCATTCAGTCAACGCAATCGTGACTCCGACGTTGCATGAAAGCTGTTTAAAAGAAAATAAGTCTTGTTCTTATCTTGCAGCAATATAGCATATTCTGTTTTAAAAGAGTGCCTTCAAGGCAGCCCAAACGCGTTTCCACCGCTCTGCCCTCAAGCAGAGAGAGCGTTCAACACGTTGCCTTGTGGCACATCAAACTGAAAAGTTTTTCTGGATGGGTGGAAGAGTGGCTGCTGGTAAATATTAATGCTTCCATAAAATTGCTTATTACCGAATATTCATGAGGTCTATTTGACGAAAATACCAAAGAAGCTTCTAGAGACGCTCTTTTATGGCCCCAAGTGTCAGCTCTAGATTGTTTTTCACCCCGAAAGCGGATTCTCGAAGGAATTGGCTGCAACGAATCCTCGACGGAGGCACAAATACTCGTGTGTCTTGAAGTGCCGTCGGTGCTTGCGTGTTTGCCAAGCACTGCGTTTCCCGTGCAGTGTGGTTCGCGGCACAGGAAGCTGCCAATTTGGCCGTTTCTCCTTGAGTCACGTGATGTGCCGCTCGTACGACGGTCCGCTCACATGCTCAGCGCCTCACCGTATAGCGCATGCATGCGCAGTGGCGCAATCATCGACTGGCTGAGCGGGAGGCAAAATACGGTCAGCTAAATGTCCCTAATGAGCAACAGCAGTGGTTCAAAAATTTGCTGGCCTTCATCTATCGCATGCAGTGTTATCAAAAGTCGAAGAGCATAAATGGCTAGATGCGAGAGTAAAATGGGTATAAGTAGCTAAAAAAATTAGCTAGTTACTAAAAGGTAACTAAATTATATTTTCAAGAATATTTAGGCATATTATAGCAGTGCAACAAATTTGATGGCAGCTATGTTATCTAACAATTAAAACAGAATCATCAAGTGACACTTTCTTGCACGCAACTATGCAGAACGTATGAACAAAAATAAAAGTGTTCCTGGTTTGAATAACTAATGCTGGACAGCTGTGCTCTTT